GCAAATCGTAGCAAGAATTTGATAATCATGCACCAAATATGAAAAAACAAAAAAAATTGATAGTTAATGACCAAGTTTGGAGAATATACAATAATCAAGAGACTAAAAGTGAAAATAAATCTTAAACTATATTATATATATTTATATTTTGTATTTAAACTATGTAGTGTGATGATATACCTCTGTTACCATTCTAAATGGGTAATCACAGAAGCATAGAACAGATACTACATTGTAAAGAATATAGGCCTTGTTTGGTAAAATAGTTAGCATTTTAATCAATTTTAACTTATTTGACCGCTATTAGTTATTTGACTTGGTTAAACAATCAATATAAATGTTTGATTAATTAATTTTTTTGTAACAAAGTATTGCTCCAAAATGCTAAAATTCAAAAAGCGGTTCAACGTAATTTTTTTCGAGAAAGTCATTTTGTATATATGTAATTAGCTAACAATTAACAGCTAATTTATCAAACACTTTTTTACAATAATACTATCAACTAGTCAAATCCATTAACTCAATCAACTAACAACTATTTACCAGACACTCCCATAGTCTTTTTAAAACTAAATGTTGACCAGCTATATAGAACATAACATGACTATCTGTTAGGAAGCGGAAGGTTAACTTAGACATAAATATATGAACAGTGTTATTTACATATTTAATAATGCAAATTATAAATTACATCAATAATACAAAGTAGGGCTTGTGTTTCTTCTATTTCATTATTTAATTTGTCCCAACCAATTATGATACACATACACAAACACTTATAATATATGTTTTATTTCATATTCAAATATTTAATATAATTTATAAGTAATACAATGCATGAATTGACTTACATATACATATGACTTACATAAGTAATACAGATACATATCCGCTGCATGCTTTTTATGGATTAATATATAGAACCTATACAAAATTAGCGTGTAAGTATTTATAAACAATATTTATAAGTAATAGAATGCATCAATTGACTTAGTGCGCATGTATTATATGACTTGAATGCTTTTATGGATTGATATTAATTTATAAAAAATATTTCAATTCACACCCAAATTAAATATGCTCTTATAGTCTTATATATGTACTAGTTTTTTACGCGCATTGCGCGATTGGAATAATGCCCAATGCTTTTTTTTTAAATAAGGACTTTAAAATATATTAAGGCAAGATTATATTGAAATTGTTCATGCATAGATAATTGAAGGTTGAATTTGCGTATTTAAATAGGTAATTATTCTCTCAAAGGTTGAGTCCCCAACCCCAAGGGCCCTGGTTCAGCAGACAAGGCCAAATGCTGATACGCACAAGGAATCTGCCCACTTTGGACATAATTCCCGCATTGCCGCCGCCGAGGTTCAAATCTTGGTCTCTTCTCCCAAATACTACCCACTAAACCATTGAGCTAAGTCCGTGCGGGTTAAATAGGTAATTCTAAGTTTACAAATGCAAGATAATATAGTCAATATTGATTATAATTGTCAATAAAATAATTGTATAGGTATGGTTGAAACCAAATAGGGACATAAGGGAGAACAAATAAAAATTAGGGCATAAAATATTAAATATATACTAATATTGTTTGAGGAGATTCTGACATTAGGATTTGTGGTTAAGTTCTATTAAGACTTTAATATTAGAATTAGATTAATGGTGTAGTTATAATTCTGTATTAGACTTTAATATTAGAATTATACTAACGGTGAATTAACGGAAAAGTTAAATGGATATAATTAAGGATAAATTAGAAAATCTTAAAAGAAAAAAATTAAAACCTGAACAATATGAACCATTCATTTGATTTAATAATTTGGCGGTCATTTTTTCTACCCAATGTTAATAATTAAATAAATTCGATGGTCAAATCCGCTAGCTAGTATAATCCGCTAATGCTAACCTCTAACTGCTGATTGTCAAACAAGGACATTGCGAGGTAGTTCTCACTTCAATTTGTTGTGTGATTTGAATACTCTCTTTGTCACAAAATCTCTCAAGTAGTTAATATGGTTGGCTTTATTAATTATTTTTTTTTTAATTTTTTCATGGTATTAATAAAATACTTGGTAAATAAATACATAGCATTATTTTATGTTATAACTTTGATATTTAATTAGAAAAATAGTGCACAAAAAAGATAATAGATAATGTAGTGAATATAATGAATTGATGAATTTGAATGTAAAAGTTTTTACATTTGAGAAAAATAAAGACAATATAACTAATGAAAATATTTCTTTTAATTAATTTATTGATAATTAATAATTTGTTTTTCACGGAATAAAGACATTGTAAGGACAATGTAGCGAATATAATCAATTAATAAATTTGAATATAAAGAATTTTTATATTGAAGAAAAATAAAGACAATATAACTAATAAAATTATTTATCTTATTTAATTTATTGATAATGAATAATTTTTTTTTGAATAAAGACATTGTGGACACATAATTCTAAATTAAAGAAATGCATATGTATTATTTTTTGTTGTAACTACTAAATTATTATTTATATAATAATTTAATAAGAGTAAAATAGAGTACTAATTATGCCAACTTTGATTGGGATGAGGTTCGAACCTAAGACCTTTTTTTATTGAAATCAATGAGTAAGTTAACGGTGAACTAACGGCAATTCTTAAAATTTTAACGGAATTAGTAACGGTGTGTGGGTATTTTAGGAAATTTTAGTGTAAAATTCAAATCTGATCAATCTTTTAATCAATCTAAGCCATTCATTTGATTAAAATCTGTGACCGTCATTTTTTCTACCCATTATAGGCCTAACTCTCTTGGGCTCTTATTAGTATAGTAGATAAGTAATATATAATTTGGTATGGCATGCATGTCTTTATAAGCTTCAAGATCCTCACTTACTCTCCAATTGAGTTGCCTATTGACCTTAGCTTCTTTGTTTGAGTTAGGTAGTTATGTGCAACTTAGATTGGTTTACTTTCCTGTGATTTTTTACTGACAAGAGTCACAAGGTGAGCTTCGCTTAGAGCATCATTTCGAGTAGCGACTGCAAACTTTAATTTTCTGTAAATCAAATATCGTCACTCACTTATCCATTCTTTCCTCATTGAAGTTTTTCTTTTCCTTTTAATTCATTCATTGTAACCATACGTCTCATTAAAAATATAATTAAACACACTTATTTACATTTAAATATAATAAAAAATGGAACAAAAGGGTGCTAAAAATTAATAGGAAAAAGCTTCTTACTCTCCTAAATTTTCCCTCCTAATGTGACTCACAATCATTGAGTGCCCATAAGTAGGCTAATCAATCACTAATTGAAAAGAAAAAAAAAAAAGAAGAGAAATTTAAACTAATCAAATGATGTCAATTCAAGAGAAAAAAAAAAAAAGTAAGACAAATAAATTAAGGTATATATATATCATTACTCAAAATAATATTTGGGAATATAAATTATATAAGAGCATCTCTATTTTTGGGAGATCTAACTATCTAAGCTTATGTGGAGGGGAGAGAGTGAGGAGAGAGAAGCTTTGGGGTTTTTTTGTTCTGGTTTTTATTTGCACAGTGAGCCCCACCAAAGCTTTTTTAGGAGATCTAAACTTATGCGGAGGAGAGAGAAGCTTTGGGATTTTCCTGCTAAGAGCTGGTTTTTATCAATCGTTATATCCTACACCACGACGCACATAGCACTATGCGCCGCGCGCCTCCCAAAACGACGTCGTTTTGGGGTAGTGTTGGGAGGCGCTGTAGGAAGTTGCTGAGATTATGTGTATTTGTTCACAACGTTATGTGTATTTGTTCACAACGTTATGTGTATTGGTTCATACAGTTATGTATATTTTTTATACAATTATGTACATTCTTTTTATACAATTATGTACATCCGAATCAGAAAATTTGTGTGTATTATGTTAAGAGTTGATGTGTATTATGTTAAAAGTTTATGTTTATTATGTATTATGTTAGATTATGTGTATTATCTTTTAAAAAGAGTATGTATATTTTGTTATATAATTATGTACATTCATGTATAACATTATGTGTATTCTAGTATAACATTATGTACATTCTTGAACAACGGTTTTTTTTTTAAAGAAAAAACTACTGCCATTCACTGGGGCGGGAAATTTCAAAAAAAAAAAATAATTAAAACGACGTCGTTTTGCATCTGGGCGCATAGTGCAACGCGCGCCCTGGTGTAGGATATAAATTGCCGGTTTTTATCTACACAGTGGGCCCCATCAAAGCTGAAAAGTTGCTCTGCTTGTCATGTGAAGCTAATCGAAGATGCCCAGCCGGGCGCGTGCACTCCTCACACCCGCTATTTCCTCAGTTTTTTTTTTTTTCTTTTCTTCTATCCCTTTTTATCTCTCTCATATTCTCTTTCATAGTTATATCTACAAAAAGATTCGAAATTTACAATTATTGAAAATGCTCTAAGAACCAGTAGAAATAGTTGTAGGTGCAGTACGTGGTGGTTGCTGCGTGTATACGTGGAAGCTAAGCTTATAATTAAGCAAAAAAAAAAAAAAAAAAGAAAAAAAGAAAAAAGGAAAAAAACTGGTGGCTAGCAAGAGCCGGCGTAATTCTAAGGTGGCAAGATTCTTTTACCACCGTAGCGGTTTAATTACCGTGCGTGCAGGTGGGATATATCTATCTTCAATTCCTCTTTACTTTAGGGTCAAATTCCAAGAACCTCCGATCCTCCAACAACTTAACAGTTATCCCAAGAAGACAAAAACCCAATATAATTCTACATATATACGTACCCAAAGAAAACAACAGAAGAAAAAGCTAAGGTTGAAGATTCGGATACATACTGCATACACTGATTGAACGAATAAAAGCAGCATGCAAAGCAAGAATAGACACACACGCAGTACTTAACACCAGCAGTAGTAGTTAGCTAGGACTTATAAATAGCCATGGCTTTCATGCAAGCAAGATCATTATATATATATACAGAGAAACTACCAAACCCCCCCCCCCCCCCCCCCCCCACACACACACACACACATATATATACAGAGAAAGGTTAGTTTTGATCGAGGAGCTGAGCTAGCTAGGATGCGAAGGGGAACAGTAGACCCTTTGGTGTTGGGGCGTGTGATCGGAGACGTTGTGGATCCATTCACGAGGTCCGTTGAGCTTAGGGTGGTTTACAATAACGAGGTGGATATCAGGAATGGGTGTGAGATGAGGCCTTCTCAGCTCATCAACCCACCTAGGGTTGAAATCGGCGGACACGATCTCCGTACTTTCTACACTCTGGTAGGTTCCACTTCAAACTGGTTATGTTTGAAAGATGGGAGAGAATTGTATGAATAAAGATCAGTGATAAATGAATAATTACAAATTTTATGATGTGATATTTTGAAAGTAAGAGAAGATTACATGAGTACATATAGTCTTAAATCTTATATATACATATATTTTATTCTATCCTATCCATCAAGTATACATGACTTTTTGTTTTTTTTAAGGTTATGGTGGATCCTGATGCTCCAAGTCCAACCTCTCCAACCCTGAGGGAATACCTCCACTGGTCAGTCTCCCAACTATATGTTTCTTCCCCAATATAATAACAACGTTTGATTTCATTCATTAAGTACATTTCTCGTCCTATTTCATCCGTCTAGTTCAATTAATGAGAGAAGTTATTTTTAGTTTGACTTTTTCATTTAATATATATATATATATATATATATATATATATATATATATATATATATATATAGAGAGAGAGAGAGAGAGAGAGAGTGATGTTTCAATGAGACCACATCTCTTGCGAAATTATGAGACCCAACATGAATGCATAAAAATTACTATACAAATACACAAAAACTACTCTAAGTAGATTGTGTGCATTGTGTGACTGAAATTTTAAATTATGTGCATTCATGTTAAAAGTATTATTAAACACAAAAAATCAAATTTAAAAATACTAAAGAAAATAAGCAAAGAAGAATTTGAAAGAGTTAGTTTAATGAATAAATTGTAAATGTGACAGGTAAAATGAGACAGAATGAGTATAAGTGAATACAATTTTTATATAATAATTTTTTTTTTTAAATATCATCCAATTAAACACGTACAACAAAAAATCAAAGCAATAAGAAGTTAACGGTTAAAGTAAATAAGCAAACCGATGAACCATAATAGTGTAGATCAGATTAAATAGCACGTACATACATGTCTCTTCTCTATTAACCTAATGATTTGGTACTACAGGTTGGTCACTGATATACCAGGAACTACAGGAGCAAGCTTCGGTAAATCCCCTTTTAATTTGTGTTTGATTAATTAACAACCTGTGTTCTACCAATTGAAAGATTATTGGAAGAAGGGGAACATATGGAAAATGTGGATTTGTTTTGTTTAAGTGATTACTAATGTTGTTTTATCAGAAGCTAGCATATGTTAATTATTTGAACAAATTAAAACAAGTAGGGCAGGATTAGCAAAGAGTTAATCACTTTTTGGTTTCTTAATTATTTTTCATCTGTCAATTTAGTCTTTAATTTTCAATTTCAATCAATTTGACCTTCGAATTGTTTAAAAGTTCGTCAATTAAACCCTTCCAGGGACCAAAATTGTGATTTCCACATTTTAAAAATTTTGTCAATTTGGTTCCTAAAAAGGTTTTTTTTTTTTGAATCAGTTCCTAAAAAGGTTTAATTGACAACATTTTAAAGAATTTGATGATCAAATTGGTTGAAATTGAAAACTAGGGACTATATTGACAGTTGGAAAACAATTGAGGGACTAAAACATTAATTTCTCCATTAGCAGATGAAACTATTTTTTTAATATTTCAGAAAAACAGAAAATAAAAATAGATAAATAGCATTAATATTAAAATTAAATAATAATCTCCATTAAAGAATATATAATATTTCTATTAACTTTAATTTCTAATTAGAAAATAAAATTTGTATAAAAAAATTCAAAATAAAAGCAAAAATTAAAAACTTTTTGAATTACTAAACAAATATATTCAAATGAAAACCCCAAGGTCATTTGTAAGCGTACAAATCAAATCCTTGTAAACTCTTAATGATTCTCTTTAATTTGTTTTAAAAAAGCTAAGGTTGCACAATTTGATTTTGAAAAAATCTATTTAGACAAATATTTTGTGTTAAATAATTTTTAAAATCCTTGTGAACTCTCAAAATATTTGGTTTTCTCTCTTCCTCTCTCAAAATCATTTTCTTATGAGAAAATTCTGTCAACACTTCCATCCCTTAAGAGATGTCGCAAGTTCAAACCTCCTCTTATTTGAAAAAAATCAATCTAGCCAGCACTTTGCTCCTTAATTGGGCCGGTCCGGTGCGAAAGAAAATTAATTTGAGTATGGTACGAGCTTAAAGGTGTCTCTTACAGTTAGGGTTTGCTCAGGACACCTCATGGTCTAATGAAATAAATAATTTTAGAAAATTTTATAGATAATTTCATGTGTAAAGAGGGAATATTAGGTTGTGATTTTGATTTTTTTAAAACATTTTTTTAAGGTAGGGAATGAAAATAAGGAATTTAATAATGACATGCTAGGTAATAAATATTAGACAATGCTTTTTGGAGAGAAAATGACATTTCCAAAGTAAAATATTGTTATAACATTATTGGGTATACTAGAAATTTAGAAATAAAAATAGAATTAATTAGCTTCTTTTAATTATAAATATTTTATTTTATTTTAGTGCATTCTAAACGATTTAATTTACACATAGTAATTAACATTTTCTGGGGGAGTCAAAATCCAATTAGATATAGAATTGATAAAGTTTAAAGAAAATTAAAGTATTTAAAGAAATATAGTAACCTGAGAGGGTGTGGTTGAGTGAAATGGACTCATTCATTCTTAATCGAATGTCAAGAGTTTTTAATCCTAGGGACACCCAAAAATTAAAGAAATATAGTTTTAAATTTTGTCTCCTTTCACTTATCCGTTTTCAAAGATAAGTCTTACAATACACTACTTGTTCTTGCACAATTTAGCTTTTATCCAACAATAGTACATTTAATATTTGTTTTTTTCCTGCATGGGTAGCTCAACTGGTCATAGAGGTGAAATTTTAGAAGAATGACCAGGGATGAGTCTCACCCGCCACAGTGTGGGAGCAACCTCTCAAAGTGAGGGGGGCTCCTTGTGCGCAGTGAGCACCGGTCTAACCCGTCTACATTATTTATTTTATTATTATTAGTTAAACTCTTGATCCTTTGAAGGCAATGAAGCGATATTCTACGAGCCTCCAAGGCCGTCAATGGGAATCCACCGTTTTGTGTTTGTGCTTTTCCGGCAACTTGGCCGGCAGACAGTTTATGCACCGGTTTGGCGCCAGAATTTCAACACTCGAAACTTTGCTGAGATTTACAATCTTGGTTTGCCAGTGGCCGTCACTTACTTTAACGGCCAAAGGGAGGGTGGCACCGGCGGTCGATCTCCGGCAGAGCCCTGGGCAGCCGATTAATTACCCTGCTCCTTCCCGTTAATTTCATGCATGCATGCATGCTATCTATAGCATAACATACATATAGTATATATCATAAATAAATAAGACCACATGCATTAACATGTTTAATTTTCCCATGAATATATGTTAAAGTTGTTCTAGAAGAACTACGTACTCCATTATATTACCCTTTATATATGGCAATGAAGATGGTTTCATCTCTATTTAGAAGCTAAGATCTTTTATGAGTAATGTTAGGTATCCTTCTTAAAAATATTTCTCCAAATTTTCTTTTCTGATCATGTGGCAATATTTAATTAGATTATTTTGTATTTAATTAAAAGAGTTTTAGGTCGGCGAACTCATAATAACATTCAATGAATATAACTATATAAGTCACATTGTGGAGAGAAAATATTATGGAAAATTTAGGAGGGGTAAATAATATTTTCTGTATTTTATATAAAGACATTTTCTGTATTTTATATAAAGACACGGAACATTGAATAATACTTAAACTTTATAATACCATATTAAAACTCTAATTCGATGATTAACAGCACGTTTGGTTCACAGAATGAAATTTGAGGTAATAGGAATGCTATTCCATAAGGAATGGAATAGGCAAGGAATAGAATATGAATTCTATTCTATTCTTTGGTTCGCGGAAGGAATAGACTTTAGGAATTATATTACAGTGTTTGGTTGGTTTAAGGAATAGAATGAAATATGTTTCAAAAGACATAAATATCCTTATAAAAATATGTGGTGGTGTTGGTGGCGGCGGCGGCGGCGACGACGGTGGTGGCGGTGGTGGTAGCAGTGCCGGCGGTGGTTGTGGCGGCAGTGACGATGGTGGTGGTGGTGGCGGAGACGGCGGTAGTGGTGGCGGTGGTAGGGTATTTTCAGTATTATAGTACTAAAGCTATTCCCAAATACTTGAGAATAGCTAATACCAGGGGGTCCCCTAGGAATGGCTATTCCCCCCTGCAAAGGGAATAGCTCATTCCCGGGAACGCTATTACCTTGAAAAAAATGACAAAACAAACAATGGAATAGGTCTATTCCCGGGAACAGTATTCCATTCCCGACCTATTCCATGACCCAAACACGCCATAAGTCTTATTCATTATAGCATAGATATAAGTCTATTCATGTTGGCCTGGTGAGGGTGTACAATTGTAAAAACTCGGCCAGCCCGACACATACAGGCCATCATATAGAATTATACTCATAAGAAATTCTATCAAACTTATACATTGTAGGTGTTGGTCGTTTTATGATTTTTAGGCGGTCAACGGCTAGCCAACACAACCGTTAAAATAACGAGTACATAGGAAATTTGAAAATATGGAGAGAATATAGGTATTGTATTGCTTAGAATTGTTTGTCCCATTTCATATATAAGGGGTATATTTATAGATATTTTGGGTCTAGAGACCTACAAGGAATAAGAATCCTAGACTACCTCATATTGGAGTCATAATTATACAAAAAGTGATGGACCCAATATAAGATAGGCTCAATTCTTGATACATAATTAAGAATAATAAGCCTAATCCTATCGAAACTCCTATGTTGTCTCGTCCTAGACTTCCATCTTGGGCTTCTTTGATCCAGTTGTTTTCTTCCGCCGGTCCATTTAGTCAACTTAGTATACTATCCATCATCTAGTCCCCTACTTTATTGAGATTTCAAGAAATCGACATCTTGTGAAAGTATATTAACATGTAAACTCATCAAAGGATAGAAAAATTTCAATCAATCAGTCTGGCCCATAAATATGGGGCATGAGGTGGCCCACCGGTTTGAATATTAATAAAGATATTAATTGTATTTTTTATGGTATAATTATTTTATTTTTTAACACACACACACACACACACACACACACACACACACACATATATATATATATATATATATATATATATATATATATATATATATATATGTATGTATATGTATATATGTATATGTGTAACACCCCCGATTTTCCAAACCAATTTAATGCTTAGACATGCAGATAATTCTAACCATAAAAGCATACACAGCGGAAGACTTAAGCATGAAATAGATGGAACACGTAGAGTGTTATGCTACGCTCACACAACGGTGAACGCACAGGCGTAAACATTTGCAACATAATCTATCAATCCAAAGGCAAAGTCAACAACATAAAGTCTAGAGTCTAATCAAAGGCACGCAGGCCTAACCATCACAAGGAAAAGGGATCTACACTAACTATCTCTAGATCGCGCTCTCGTCTACTCAGCACCTGAAAGAAACACATAGATATATGGGACGACGCCCGGTCAGCGAATGATGCTGGTAACCCACCAATACATGTGAAATATCATATGTAGATAGTTTATATATATATATACAAAATCATTTGCGAAACGGGATATAGTATATATCAATTTCAAAGCCAAGATAGAAGTCAAACACAAGACTCTTTGTACTCACAATAACGATAAGGGAACACATCCCAAGACATCAAGAAGTACAACGACACACAAGAACGGCTCAAGGCGTACTCTACCATCACTCAGTAGAATAACACCTGACATGCACAACACAAGATAACAAAAGACACACATTGGCAACACATGCCTTCGCGACATCACTCGTCACGAATAGAGAATCACACACACAATGGCTATACAAGTCTTCGTGACATCACCCATCACGAATTGAGATGCCTTCCTTATGCCCGGTTCCAACCTTATGGCTACCCCCGACCTTATATCTATTTCCAACCTTTACGTTCAGGACCCCTATACACCAAGTCCAACCTTATTCCCCCGAGGAATGTCGTCCCCACTCCGACAATCTCTAACTGTGACACCTCGAAATCCAAATTCAATTAAGGGATTAATTGAGTAATTAATCCTATTTCAATTTGTAATTTAATTCCTTAAATTCCTAAAATTTAATAGTTGGGGACTAGTAATTGACTAGTCAACCCCAAAGTCAAAGTTGTACATTGAGCTTTGTAAGGAGTTCCCTTGTTCCTTACACTTCCTTATGTTAGTAAGGGTATTCTTGACCTTTCACTTGTTGTTGGTATTGTAACCTAACCTAGTAGACCACCTTCATTCTCTCCTTACACTTTTCTAAAAATCTAGCTCCACCCTCTCTCTAAAAGGTGAGTAGCTTTTCTTCCAAGCCAAGTTGGAACCTTGCCAAAACTTCAAGAGTTGCTTCCAAGATTCAACATTTCTTATATTTGGGCATCTAGGAGGGTAAGATCTAAGTTCATCTTGTGTTTTTGGTTTTATCTAAGGTGTCTTTTCTTAAAGATAGGATCTTTATGATCTTTTGGTATGTTCTTGAAGTGGGTTTGGAAGGTGAGCCTTGTGAGGAGCTTGTTGAGGTGTAAAGTGAAGTCTTTAGTCTACAAGAGGTAACCCATGCTCTACAAAATCTATTTTGCTTACCTATGTGAATATTTCTTGGATTCTACATGTATTTTGCTATGAAATGTGAGTGTTTATGCATTATCTTGTGAAAATGCATATCTAGAGCTTGTGTTTAGGGTTCTTGTATGTCATTGCTTGGATATTCCTTTGATTCAAGTCATTTTGTTGTATTGAGTGAGATTTGGCATGTTTTGGACTTGAATTTGAGTTTGGAGATGAAAATCCGCGAAGTGTTGTATTGTGGTACAAGGATGTACCCGCGGGCGGAACGACGGGTAGGGGTCCAACCCGCCACCCACCCGTGGGGTACACGTTGTGAAAGAGCTAGAGATGACCACGGTTCCGGTTAGAACCGGAACCATGACTGTGCAAACCAGAATCGAACTGGAACCGTCCGTACGGTTTCGGTTCCGGTTCTTAACCGGAACCTATAAGGTTTCGGTTAAGGTTTGTAAAATCTTGGAACCGGAACCGGCGATTCCGGTTCCAAACCGAAAAAAATTAAATATTATAGTGTTTTTTTTTTAATTTTTTTAATAATTCCGGTTAGAACCGGAACCTTACTATAAGGTTCCGGTTCCGGTTCCGGTTTCGCCATCTACGGAATCGGAACCGGCGGTTCCGAACCGGAACCAAACCGGAACCGGAACCGTGGTCACCCCTAGAAAGAGCCTGTACCCGCGGGCAGGACAACGGGTAGGGGCCTACCCGTGGGCCCACCCGCGGGTACACTATGTTGGTTATTGGGGGATTTGTTCCCCGTGATTCTTTTGACTCGGTATTTGGACTTTGGACTTCCCGTTGTTCTTTTATGGAACTATTTGAGTGTCTTCTTGATGTTTCGTATGTCTAGAACTATATGGTAGGAATCCATGTAGGTTTTGGTGTCTTGAATCGTGCTAAGTGTTCAACATTGTGTTTCGTTGAACAGTGATGAGTCTTGTGTGTTCTTCGGAACTACGTTTGGTTTACTCGTTTGATAAGCATGCTAGTTCGGTGTTTAAATGCTAGCGTGTGTGTTGTTTGTACCTTCTTATAGGTTGATGATAACTTGTGTTAATCATCGTTGTTGTTGTTGGGCTGTGACCCATTCCTTGATTGAGTATGGTTTCATATCTTCGTTGTGATCCGTTGATTGATTCCTGTCATGGTGTGATGTGTGTGTGGCTTTACCTGGATTGCACGATTAGTGGTATGGGACACTAGTCACCAAGGTATTGCAGCGGTCCTCGTTGTGGGCGTGACGTGATTATGGAGCTGTGGCCTTTGTGTAAGGTTCACGTATTTCTTGGGAGGCATGTGTTGCCGTGTGTGTGTACTATGAAATTGGTGGTTTTGTTGGAGGGACTGTTGGAGGGGGAACGACGGTTCCCAGAGGAATAAGGTTGGACTTGGTGTACAGGGGTCCTGGAGGTAAAGGTTGGAACTAGATATAAGGTTGGGGGTAGCCATAAGGTTGGAACCGGTCATAAGGAAGGCATATCAACTCGTGATGAGTGATGTCACGAGGGCTTGTATAGCCGTGGTTGTGTGTTTTCTTCTTGTGACGTGTGTAGTCACAAAGGCATGTGTTGCCTAGGCATGTGTTGCCGTTGGTCTTATCTTTATCCTTTTGAGTTGTTGCTATCCTTTGTGGTCTTGGGATGTGTTCCCGTGTTATTGTTGAGAGTGGTGAGTCTTGTGTTGACTATTACTCTTGGTTTTGTACTTATATATATGTATTCCGTTTCAAAAATGGATTTACAACTTATATCTTACTTATATATGTTATTTCACATGTATTGGTGGGTTACCAGCATTATCCGCTGACC